GCACACACACACACACACACACACACACATATATATATATATATATATATATATATATGTATGTATGTGTGTCAAATTTGGGATAATATAAGAAAGAATGAAGCAAAGACATTCCATAGATTGTATCTGGGCCTGCTGATGAGTGATTTTGTGATTGACCTCAGGTCCACTCACACTGTGCTTTGACACAAAGTGCTCATGGTGAAGAGTGAGCCTTGTCTAGACAAAACTAAAATATCTGCTGTTGCTATAATGACACCCCGTCTGGATGGCAGGGCAAAAAGCAAACATTCCCTCAGGAGGGAACTCATTGCAAAATTCAAATTAGGATCATAGAGTCAGAGATGGCATGGGATGGAAAGTGGTAATACATGTGCTGCTTTATACTTCGGCTGTTAACAGTCTCTTAAGTGTATACTATGTGCTAATGGCTTCTGATGAAAATACACCTGTATGCAAATCTTTACCCATTACAATGTGGTATATTCTAAGGAAGACATTAAGACTTTTTAAATTTAAAATCTGCACGGTGTTAAAGTAGTAAAGAATATAAAATGCTCAATAAAGTGATTCAGTCACATACAAGATTCCCACACTGATATCATTAAGGCCAACCAAATGTATAATCTACAAGTACACAATAACCAAAAACTTAACAGGAGCAGCAATGTAAAATAAATAATAATAAAAAATAAATAAAATACAATAAAAATAAAAAATAAAACAACTTTATTATGAATTGTTATTAATTAATAAACAAGCTCTTTATTACACTTCATTATAATATATATCTATATACCTCTTAAAAAATGATAGCCAGCCAGCGAAATCATGATTCAGCTTGATACAGCTTGCATACAGTGAAATGGCACCATCTGTTGGTCAGTTTTAGCAAGTGCAGAACCTCCTTTTTTTCCTCACAGAACTGTAGGCTACAAAGTTCAATTCAAACATCAAAAAAAGTTGCGTTTTACTTTGTATTAGGAGTTTGAATGCTAATATTTTTCTTCATATTATGTTTTATAGGCCATTCATGCTGAACTGTCCAAGTTGGTAAAAAGACAGGCGGAGGAAAATGAGACCCAGAACTGGCAAGCTAAACCAGCTCAAGTGTTAGGCGAAAACATAGCGCCATTTCTGACACCTCCCCCCGAAAAGAAGCCGTTTGTAAGTGACTGATTACCACCTAGTGAAGAGAATAAAATTGGTGGAAAAGTCATTTCAAAATGTGCCAGAGTTGGCGTCCAAGTGCCTCCATTGTTTGATCTTGTTTCTTACTCTTTCAGGGAATTTCTTGGAAGTTTCTGCTTGGAGCTCTGGTGGTGGCCTTGGGCAGTTTAGTCACATCTGTGGTCCTGTCCGCACGGAACTAGCTCTCTCGACCTACTTGCAAATTAACTACAAGTCTCACAAAAGGAGAAAAAAAATGCACTGAACTGTTTAAAGAGTTAACAATTTTTACACTGCTCTTCTGCTATTGATTAAAAGGATCACGTTGTTTAACTATATAAATTCATATTCTTAATAAGTTCTTAATTTATGGATAATAAAATAAATTGTGGTTAGTTAAACAAGCAGCTTTGTCATAATTGCAGCTGAAATACCCGAGGAAAAATATTACCTTAAAATGGGGGTCCTTGGATTATGGGTAAAAAAGTCGAGAACCACTGGATTAGAGTATACAAAAATATATCTTTTTTTTCTTTAAAATAACATGCATTGATGAATCATTCACAATAAGACCAGGAAAAAGCATTAAGAAAGTAAATAACCTTATTTACATTTTGATTTCATGTTGACTTTACATCTGCTCACGGAAATGTAACTACATCCGGCTTTGAATACTAGCCCACACAATTACTCTGGCACTCCAGGGTTCGGTTTCCTGGGTATGAGCATTACTCTGTCCTCCTCCACACTCTGACACTCCTGTGAACACACTGAACGGTGACTCATCTGTACAGAGGATCTAATATGGCAGCTGATTAATCTATTGTTGCCTAAACCAGTTGGTGTGACATGTTGAAGGAGGATCACAGATTCTGTCCCTGAATGTTATATCATGATGCAGGCATTGTCTCTGATAACAGCACAGGTGGCGATCTCTCAAATGAATGGTTGAAGTGTCAGTTCTGCAACTATGACCATAAAATGTTAAGCTATTTCTTATTTTAATTCACCCCAAAACTTATACAATTCTACAATGCATCATTCATTCATTCAGGGAACCATGTTCCTGCAACCTACTCCTTGTCTGTACATGGTTGGAGATCTTGACACACGTCTTACGTTTTCCACTTGTTAGCATTCTCTACCCCAACTTTTAACTTACATATTGTAAAAGGACTATTATTTATTTAATATCAATGAAACAAATATATTTATTTAGTCATTTATTAGACGCTTTTATCCAAAGCGACTTACAAATGAGGACAACAGAAGCAATCAAGCAAGCGCAGACACTGACAAGATACGCGATACAGAACGAGACCAAACGCGATATCAGCACATATTTATTATTTATTTAAACCTAATACAGTATAAAGGTGCAGTTTATTTATTTATTTTTGATCCAGTGCTGTAAGAACAAGAACAACAACAACACTAGCTGCCAGGCAAAAAAAGTTACATACAGTGCTTTAAAAACGTTTTTAGTTTGTTCCTAAAGGTTTGCAATGAGCCCACTTATGGTATTTTCATAATAAAATAATGTATTAGGTTTAAATGATAAAATATAATTTAAAATTGTTATATAATTGTTAGCCTTTACAAATAATAGTCAGTGTTTTGTATCATATTTGATACACCAGGCCTGTGGAGTATATTGTGAGAATATGGAGCTCACACTCAAAGAGCATTTAAGTGCTTAGTTTTATAATCAAAGCTCCAGAATTTTCATTGTGGTGGGCAAAACAATGCAATGATAAATGAGATTCCTGGTTCCTCACAACATTAAAGGGGTCATATGATGCTGCTAAAAAGAACATTATTTGGTGTATTTGGTGTAATGAAATGTGTTTATGCGGTTTAAAGTAAAAAAAAACACATTATTTTCCACATACTGTACATTATTGTTTCTCCTCTATGCCCCGCCTTTTTTAAACGCGTCGATTTTTACAAAGTTTTTTTTTCCTAAAAAGCCTTTTAACTTCCTGAACAGTATGAACTATCAGTCAGAGGGCTGAAGGTATGTAGAAAATTGTGTACAACAGGTTCTAAACAAAATATTGATCATTTAGAGGTCTTAAAAAAAATCACGTATCAACTTTGATACAGTAGGCTTTATAGGGTTACACTGAGATTAAAACCTTCAGATCGGGTCAGTCAGATCAGATATTTAATTTCAGCACTGTGTCTTTAGGGGGAAATCAGCGTGAACTTGCTGGCCAGAAAAGTGCCAAGAAGCAAAGTGATGCGCAAAAAGGCAAGGAAAATGATGGTTTATCTGCTGCTGCCAGAAAGCAGAGGTAACCTACAATCCTAAAACACTAACAGAACTTGAGCTAGATGCAGCTTTCTTTTAATAATGAGGAAGAAACTCCCATTAATGCATTGCGTAGTTTCTGCAAGTATGAGAATTGGAAATTGTAGGTTAAAATCTGGGAATGTGGAACATTTATTATTGCTATTCATTTCCATGTATTCTTTTCCTTTTTAGAGATGCAGAAATAATGCAACAGAAGCAAAAGAAAACCAATGAAAAAATGGAATCTAAAGTCAAATAGAAGACATCAACAAACCCTTCGGACGATCCTAAGCTATTATTGCTGGTGTCATTAGGCTGTATTGGTTTTTGTTGTCTAGATTCAGCAGTACCATTGCTTGAACTTTGGTTTTAAACCTTTTTGTATTGTACTAATTAGGGTTGGCCAGGCATTTACTTCACTGTGTACAGGGGCCCGTTCTTCGTACGTTGCTTATTACATCCGAGATGAAATGTCACATCCAAGATGATATCATCGCGCTAATCAGGATCTGGCTAATTCGGTTCTTCGAACGCAGCTGTTGTTGATGATTAGTCTGGCTGGATTGAGTAATCTGAGATAATTGCGCGTTCATGGGTTGTTTTAAAAGGGGCTATGCATCGATGCTCAAAACCACGATCAGCAATGCAGCGATTGGCTGGCGGCAAGACAGCAACGTAATGACATCATATAATTAAAAAAGACACCAGACGAAAAACTTGACAAATTTTGGGACTTTAAGGAAACAGCCAAGCGAACAAAACTACATAAATGTTATATATAAATGAAATGTGCATTTTATTTAATTTTATTTTTTTTACATGATTCCCAATTTATATTCACAATTCTTAATATTGTACAGGCTTACATTTTTATTTCAATGAAGTAATTAGCAATTCATGTAATTTTATATTTGAACAGATTTGTTACGTGACAGCATTAAAGTTAAATAATTGTATGATAATAAATCTTTCAGCGAGTAAAACTGGTTGTCTATAGTATTAAAAACTACACATTATCATATTATCTTTAAATGATTACTTTAAATTATTGTCCCTGGATTAGTAGGGTACTCTTGTAATAAAAGTAGCGGTGGTGGCGGACAGATTTTAAGTATCAATTCTGCTTAAAAAGATGCAATCTAATCCTGTATACATGAAATAAACCTGCTCCCGAGCAGGTTTAAATTTACCGACCTGTTGCTATGACAGCAACTCCGGGATGAGCTTCGAGGAACCAAACAATCCAAGATCATGCCAAATCATCAATCAAAACCTGTGAAGAACGGGCCCCAGGTCTTACCTTTCTTGATTTAGTATTTACCATGTAAAAACCAAGAATAACAGACCCACAAAACCCATCTTGCTATTACGTACTCTTGTATTTTTATATCTCATTCGCTTTCCTTTACTCAAAATTGTTGAATAAAGTGTAGCTCAAATCGGAGTTTGATTTTTTGGTTTCAAAGACATCAAAATACTAGAGAACATTTTCTCCCTGCAGATTACAACAGATAAATGGCTTGCAGACCTTTGATTTAGGCTTTAAAAAAAAAAATCACATAATTTTTATTTAACACATCGTTAGAAACATTTACATGAACATCCTTCAACACAATAGTAATTTAATTATGACATAAATAAAAAGTAAATTTAAATAAACACTGAACCCTGAAGTGAATTTGATCATATGTAGGCAAATGTAAAAGTAAACATTTGATCAGTGTGCCTAAAAACACCAAGGACACATGAAACATCCAGAAATTTATAAAAACTGCTTAAAAGTGACTACCCGGAGAGAGAAAAAAAAAAACAAAATAAAAAACACTAACGAAGAACAGGATTTTAATTTTAAAAAGCATTTAAAAAAAAATTTAAACCAGATCTCGGCATGACTTAAACTCCACAGCAGTTGCTCAGCGTCTTCTTCCGTTTAGGACAACTCAGCTTAACCTGTGACTCTGACCTCCGCCCCAGTTTTGCATGTTTCTTGACTTCTCTGTGGTAATTTGAAGACATTTAAAGCCTGAAAACACTTCATGTGTTTTAGAATAAGCAAGAACTGGCGTGATAGCTTACCTTGCTAAATGTAAAACTGCCTCGATGACATTTGTCCCCTCTTTAGCACTTGCTTCACAGAACAGTGCATTATAAGCCTATAATATACAGCAAATTAGGACTGACATGATGGTTATTATACATTATTCCCATACAAATCGAAGACTCACCATAGCAAGCTTTTCCCCATGGAACGCGCTCACACAGCTTCCCTCTGGCCTCTCTGCCCTCAAATCTACCTTGTTCCCTATTATACACATTGGGATGTCCTCATCTGTTGACTCCTGTGAGGGAAAGTTTACAGGATTCAGTCTACAAATGATACAAAGAAAACAAACTCACTAAAATGTGTCACTGTACCCGAATCTGTTCCACCCATTCACGAACATTCAGGAAACTGCTCTCAGATGTGACATCGTACAACAGTAGCACTCCATGTGCTTTGCGAAAATATGACCTGGCGATGCTGCGGAACCTGTGGAAAAGAAACTAGTTTGTATACCTTTATGTTAAATGTAGCCCTTTAAAAGTAATGTCAACAAACTATCACTCAAAAGATTAGTTTGAGCTAAACGGCCACTGAAATTCAGCTTCGCCATCACAGCAATAAAGTACATTAAAATAGAAGAATTATTTTAAATTGTAATATTTCACAATATTGCCATTTTTACTGCATTTATGATCAAATAAACACAGCCTTGGGGAGCCTAAAAGATTTCTTAAAAAAAAAAAAAAAATCTTACCAACCCCAACTTTTTGATAAGTAGTGTATCTTTGGCATGCTGTTCATTACACAATGAAAAAAAAATCATAAGGTTTAAAACCTGGACATCCCACAAGAATGACCATATACAACTACAAATTGTATTAACTTGTTATTTTAAAAAAAAAACAATCCTCAAGAGAATCATTAATAATGTTACATATCAAGTAACATACTAAAAAACCCAAAATGGGAGCTTAATGTTTAAACCCTAGACCTGCATGCCTGCTAATATTCCATTAGTGTATTTACTGTAAACACATCTCCTGTTTGTTTATGCAAAGAGTCAGAATTTATTGTCTGTAGCGACATGGAACATGTGGTATATCAACTACATTGAAAACACAATATTTATTTAACAAGACAAGTTTGTGGCGGTTTTGTTTTTTGTAAAAAAAAAAAAAACAAATTTCAATAAACCATTTCGATTTTTTTTTTTTTAAGTATATTTAATAAGAAAACTATGTAATTTATTCCTGTGATGGCAAGGCTGAATTTTCAGCATCATTACCCCAGTCTTCGTCACATGAGCTTTCAGAAATCATTCTAATATGCTGATTTGGTGTTCAAGAAACATTTTTTAATCAGTGTTGTGCTGAATATGAAGTCCAAAAGAACAGCATTTATTTGAAAATATTTAGTAACATTATAAATGTCTATAATATCACTTCAATGTAATGCATCCTAGCTGAACACAAAATTGATCTTAAAGTTTTATATATATCTCTTACAGACTCCAAAATATGAATGTTAGTGTATGAATACAACAAAAAGGGATCATTTTCTGTAAAAGCAAAGCATGATACCACTAATGAAGATTAATATGCAACTTAACATCCATAATCAAGAATTTAAACGAAGCTTGTCTACACTTGGTTCCTAAGTGAAGCATATAACTGTACCTTTCCTGTCCAGCAGTGTCCCAGATCTGAAGGTTTGTTTTCTCTCCATCTACAAGCATCTTCTTGATTTGAAAATCAACACCTGTAAGAATGAACTTTGAGCTATTTGGATTCTCAATCGTACTGTATTCATATGGCAACAAAGCACATTCAAAAATGACACCATTGTATTTTCTCACCAAGAGTTGTTTGTATATCTCCTCTAAATTCATTAAGACTCAATCGTAGTAAAAAGCTGGATTTTCCCGACCCGGCATCCCCAGCCAACACCAGACGGTACACTGGAGCAAGATCTTCAGTGTCATGCAAGTCTTCAATTTGCTATAGAGAACAATTGTAAAGAGGCAGTCTATCACAGTGGTTCTCAACCTTGTTGACTTCAAGGCCATCCACTTTTCCAGCTGTTTGTCATTTACTAGATAACTACTCGTACTAAATAATGATTTAATTTTTTCCCCCATCCATCCATCTTTGCAATAATTTTATACCCAATAAAATATTTTAGTGCTTGCAAAAACTAGTTGTATATTCATTCAAAATGTATGCCTGTGAAAAACTAAGGCAGGCTACTGCTTATAATCAAAGCTTTTCACTTTTCTCAAACTACTTCGGCACTTATATTTTCTAGAATACCTAGCGAGTAAACAAGAGTTGCAAGAACTACCTTGACAGGAAAAGCAGACAACCGCCGCCGAAGTGAGGAGGATATTGAGCCAACTGTGCTACGAGCTACAGATCCCAAAGCTTCAGACTTCTGCTCTGACACCTACGAGACATTAGTTATTAAACCCAGCAATGAATTATACAGATATACACCTGTAAATTGTGAAAACTGAAGCCTTACCTCCAGCTCAGATGGAATAGAAGAGTAACTATGATGCACGGTCTCCACTGAATTATGGCTGTCGTCGCTGTCATAATTGCTGCCTGACATCGGCTCAGTTTCTGTCTGAATGGACACACCACTATCCAAATACTTATCAGCCCAGAACTTCACCAGGGCCATCGTGTCCTCTTCATTAGTAAAACTTAAAAAAAAAAAATATATATAATATAATATACAGGCCTTAACAAGAAATAATCTTGAAATTTTACTCTGTATATTTTTCTGCCAAGGTACAACTGCAACAAATACAGAGTAAACAGTATAATTACCCGCTCTGATTCATTGTACTCTGTCGAAGTGGTTTCATCTTCCTAGGAGGAACTTCATTTTTTGGTGACAGCTACAGAAGAGCAAACATTTTAATGAGGATTGTTATGGTGCACATTAAAATGAATTCCAGAAACAATGGTGTATTTCTGTACACTGGAAATCCAAACGTTTGATCATGGCTGCAATGAATACAGTTCCAACTTAATAAAAACCAATGAAATAGCTACCCGTCTTTTCATAGAGGCATTATCCTGGCTCAGTGCAGAGCGTAACCCATCATTGCTGTCATACAATGTTTTGTTCATTTCCCTGATGTGAAGAGGAGAAGTCATATTGTAGAAAGTCCATTTCTTCATTAGAATATTTTGAGTCATTTGACTCTTACAGAGAATGTCTGAACGGACTTACTGGAGGAATTCTATTTGGTTGGAATAAGACTGGTACTCCATCACCATCTTCTTAAGGTCATCGCTTTCTCTGAGAAGAAATCACATTAAGCTGTTTTTCTTAAATCACTTCTTAAGTCACATTGGAGGAGGCTGTGTTTAAAGAACCAGTGGCAGCATTCGCATTCACATATTTACACAAACATAGCTAAAATTAATTGAAGCATCAGTGTTCTCACCTCTCGTGTTGGAGTTTCTGGTCAGTGAAGGCATTCTTCAACCTGTCCAACTCAACCTGGAGAATGGAGACATTTATCTGGGCTTTCATAAGAGAACTTCTCAGCTCCTCATTCTCCTGCAGAGGAACACAAATGAAAGCTGATAAGATCACAAATGTTCTAATTTGCATTGCAAGTGTGCCAATTAGAGGTCTCCACGGGATCGATTTTTCTGTGCCGTTCCAACTAAAGATATATTGCTTCCTGTTCCTGCCTGCAAAATCCCAATTGTACATCTATATAGATTTTTCAGTCCTGTTGCACTATGACTTTCTAGCTCCAGTGTCATAGGCTTTTTTTTCCAATTCCCACACAAACATGAAGCTTCAGCTCACCTTGCTGCATTTTTCGCAGCAGGCAAAGGGAAGGTGCTTTCCTTTCCCCACTGAGAATATTCAACCATGCACCTTTAAACCATGTATTTTTGTTGTGCAATAGACATAACATTCTGTATCCTAAAATGAATTTGATTTACTTTTATTTTCAGATAATATTTTTTGCATGAGTCCCACAATCATATCTTTCTCCGGACTACACATCCGTATTCTTCCTCCCACACCCAGCAATTCAGTGTCTCGCACAACACTCAGTTGAAGATACTGCGGGAACACAGACCTCTAGTGCCAGCCCTTATTCTGAATTTAGTAGTTGGCAATGTCACTTTGTAAAGAAACACTATGCGCCTGCACACAAACCTATAGACTGAACACATAATACACACAACGTCACTGCTCAGCCCCCCAAAACACTAATGTCATGTGAATGAATGACCAAAATGCATAAAGTTTTCTTTTTAGTTGAAAAGTATTGGATGCCCCATTAGAAGTTGACATATTGGTCTTTATGTGATAGTTTCACCTCTGCCTCAAGTCTCCGCAAAACTTAATATTTTGAAGAATTTTGGGAACAAAGAATTGGACACCAGTACGAGACACTTCTCCGGATAAATTACCTTGCATCCGCAGAAGTCAGTCATACAATTCTGGCATACCTTAAAGGGAGAATTTTCATTTTTGGATAAACTATCATTTTAAGTAAAAATTGGCACTTTACCAGACTCTCCCCTTCTGTTCAAATAATTTAAAGTGCACTGCATGTGGTAAAAGGAATATCAGATTCATACCTGCATCAGATCGCTATTCTGTGCTCTCAATTTGATGGCATCTTCCCTGGGGCTGTTTAATTTCAACTCCTCTTGATATTGCTACAATTTGAGACAATGTAAGCAACACAATGAAAGTAACACAAAAATAAAGAAACAAAAGACATTAAAATAAGAATCCTACATTATTCTCTCACCTTTGTGAGCCTCTCTATTGTCGTGTTCAGATCTGCCAGTTCATTCTCATGCTTGATTTGGAGCATAGCAATGGATTCGTCCAATTTCTTTTGCTCCTGTATGCATGAAACCCAAGAAGAGTGTTTTCCTTATATGCACAGGCCTAATAAAGAGGCATTTACTAGCGCTCATAGAGAAGCCTTTGTGCACACAGAGTCAGGCTGGCCTTCCTGTTAAAAACATCTCACTGGGCTACAAGAATAAAGGTGAACCACAGAGTAAAAAGCTGAACCTGAAATCCTGCTTTTCATTTAACAAGACAAAATTACATACATAAATGGCACACATTTACATGCACGATATGAATACATGCACACATGCGTAAATGTGTGTGTTTAAACATGTTAATCTGTATTGGTATCAGTGTTATTGTTAACTAAAACTACTAAAAACAGTTTGATAATTGAAAAAGTGAAAATTCAACTATAAAAATGTACATGGAAAAATGGTAATGTTGCCTTGGAAACTGCGAAAATAATAATAATAATAAAAAAAACCTACAAGATGTAGTAAAATAAGTACTAATATATATTATATATATATATATATATATAGTATTAAAAGAACGATAATTAAATACACAAGGATCTGTAGTACTTAAACAACATGTATTTGTATATTATCAAGAGATGCAGAAAAGTATTGCCAACTTTTGCATTAATCTTAAATTTGTAATATTCAGTAAATGTACACAAATGTGCCAGTTCATAATTATAATCACTGCACATCAAACTTTTATAACTTCTCACCTCTTCCCTGACCCTTTCTTCTGTGCGGGCCAGTTGCTGCTGCAAGTCCTCCTCCATCTCTGCTAACTGATTGCTGGTCAGTTCCTCTGTCCTGTCGACATCAAAAAGCAAAAGGCATAGCCTTTCAGAACCAAACAGCAACTTTAAAGTCGTTTTATCCAGAAAGCAGTTTGAAACAACCAGCCTTGGTCTTCGGATACCCTTTAATCCATCCAGGTGCACCTACATCCAGATCTCAAAAGAAATGTTCCCTGAGGAGCTACTACTGGAGAGATGAAATACTCCTTTAAGCTACACAGTCTTATCGTACAGTTGAGCAAACCTCTGACGAAAGGGAAGGGAGGAACGAATGTAGGGCTCTTGAGAAGCCGTAACTTTGTAAGGTGGACCGGAGGTGAAACAAACAGCGCTAAACACACAGTAAAAGGCCTGGAATATGTCTCACTGTGAAAACAGAGCACTCCAACTGCATCCACACCTACAGAACCACATAAATAGTTTTGAGAAATGCAAGGAGAATGAAAAGCTTAGTAACTCTAGCCTAATTTTCAATTTCCTCCTTCCTTATAAATGGCAGAACTTTCCTTTTTAATAATGAAAGCTTTATACTTGAATCCATTAAACACTTTAAAAAAAAAAAAAAAAACACTTCCTGGACA